GAGAGGAGATAGAAGGGTAGAGCAGGAGTTTGTATTTGGACATGTTACGTTTGAGATGCCTATTAACATTCAAGTGGAGATGTAGGATGGGCAACGGTCTATGTGAGTCTGGAGTTCAAGGACAACCAGGCTGAGTCATAAATAAACACCTGACATTTACAGTCACAGGAGGCTTGATGAGATTAACAAAAGAAAGTATATAAGCAGGAAAGATGTAGATGAACCAACAAAGAAGGGAGATGCCCAAGGAGTAGAAGAAAAAACAGAAGAATTCCTGGACATCAAATGCAGACAGTGTTTACAGGGGAAATCTAAATGAATGATCAACTGGGTCAAATGTTACTGGCCTTCATAATCAATTCATAATTAATATAAGATATTAATATAAAACACAACCATTGTGTCTTCCTTGGCCGGGGGTCCTTTGGAAAACCTTGTCTTTATCAATTTTTTGTTTGTTTTTAAATACTAGAAAGATTATCTATCTATCATCTATCTATTATCTATCTATCTATCTATCTATCTATCTATCTATCTATCTAGGATAGCCAACAAGAAGGTCCATGGGCAGAAAGATATATTCTTTCTATCTATATTTATAGCTACAAATCTTTACAACTCTGGTAGGTTTGTTTTCATGACAACTATAACTAGCCTTATAGATTGTTGCTCTTGTAGGAAATGAAATACCAGTGGTTAGGGTCCTAAAGCCTCCATAAGGATGTTAATGGTCTAGAATTTTGCTACCAATCCCCCAATGCAGATAGATGTCAGAGGAAGTTAGGGCTGTTCTTTTCACAGCAGTATGGCATATTTGTACAGGAGAAGTGCACACTACAGAATTCTGGAATCTTTTCTGTAATTCATAGACATACGTTTAGCAATAGCGATTACTTAGACTATACTTTTAGAAATCTGCACATTTTTTCTGCTCTTCTACAAGATGCATCATTATAAATGATGCTATGCATGATCCAAGGTCTCAGATGGACAATTTCCGAAGGAAAAACAGGAAGGAAACTTATAGATACAGAAACAGACATGGATATATAATTTATATTATATGCAAATACTTGTTATATAATATATAATATATTATTTATAGTTACATTTTTATTATATTTACTTCAATGTGTACATCCCATTGCTCTAATTAGACATTTTTCCATTTAGAAAACAATCAAGTGTGGGGCGCCTGGGTGGCTCAGTTGGTTAAGCATCTGACTCTTGATTTTGGCTCAGGTCATGATCTCAGGGTTGTGAGATCAGGCCCCGTGTTGGGCTTCACACTGGGCATGGAGCCTGCTTACGATTCTCCCTCTCCCTCTACCCCTCCCCCCCCAAAATTTTAGAAAATAACCAAGTGATCAAATTTTATAAGATAATAACATCCCATTTGAAACTAAAATCCAATTTCATATTCTTTTAGAAGAGTCACCATTTCCACTGAGTTTTGCATTGGCAACATCAGAGTATTAATTCAGTAAAGAAGATTAGATATTAATATAAGTATGTGATAGATCATGTTCTTTATTTCTTGGATTCAGAGCTTTGTTCTGCTTTTTATTCCAAGTACATGAGGTGAGTGCAGATAAAATAAAATTAAACATAATTTTAAATAAAATTAATTTAAACTAATTGAAAATAGATATATTAGCATGCCCTCATCAATGCCAAGTGAAAAAAAATAATTTTTGCAGGCTAACTTGAAATGAGCTTTTTTGGACCCATGTTAATTACCTGTAGTCTCAATTTTATTTTTAACCACTAACTGCTGGGGCTGACTTCAATTGGCTTCATTTGTGTTTTAAATAATTAGTATTTAATAATGTATTATGCATTACAGGAATATTCACAGAGAACCCAAGTTTCAATTACCTGCCACTTCAAATTACAGGCTCCCAGTAATTAGCTTCTGCCACATAACCCATAATGGAACAGACCGAAGTTAATAGAAAGTAGGAGCAAAACTATATAGCCAGTTTGGCATGAGTAGATTTCAAAATGAACCAATTTGTGTACTTTTTATTTTTTCTCTGCAGGAATTAAAAAGCTGTCTGGCTAACCTTTCCAAGTCTCCCTCATTTGTAATAAAAGAGATAATAATGAAGATAGTATCTGCCTCGTAGGGATTACTTATTCACCCATCCAGAGAGAGGCATATAGTTGAGATGTCAGAATTTCATCAGCTCTAGTACATAGTATTATATTTAGAATAAAGTCTGAAGTCCTCATGTGACCTGTGAGGCCTTTTATCAAGGGTTCACAAACCTGACTGGACAGTAGGATCAGCTGGGGGGGGTCAGCTTGGATTCTGTGAGAGCAGGGTATGGGGAGGTGAAAAGGCTGGAGAGGGCTGGAGGTGGCTAGCCTCAGTATGCTTTATAAGTGTGCCGAGTGTGGACAGGTTTGAGAACCCTTGTCCCACGTGATTGTGTCTGGAGCTACATTGCCTGCAAGCTTATAAGAAATGCAAGTTATCAGACCCCACATTAGACCAACTGAATCAGAAGCTGAGAGTGGGACACAATGATCTGTTTTAGTAAACACTCTGGCAGATTTTGATATACACTGAAGGATGAGAAGCAGTGCTACGAGGTCATGCCATTCCAAGTGTGTTTACTTTCCTTCCAGCAACCTCAGCACCGCCTGGGAGCTTGCTGGACATGCAGAATCTCAGCCCTATCCCAGACCTCCTGAAGCCGAATCTGCATTTGAACAAAATCCCCAGGTGATAGGTAGTCATATGAAAGTTTGAGAGGCACTACTCTGACATAATGGTTCTCAACCTTGGCTGCAAATTGGAAGAATCTGGAGGAGCTGTAAAAATTACAGATGCCTGGTAAGCTGAGCAGGGAGCTCCTGGGTCTCCCATTTCAACACAGAAAGCTCCACTTTCATCGTTTTGGAATAAGCTCCCCTTGTAAGAAAGGCTCTACTACAACTAAATGCTTTGGGCTTCATCTACCCCCTTTTCACCAGAACAGCCTCACAATGGCTGAAATAACTTAATTAGCACAACTCTTGCTTCTGTCTATGCTCCGAGAGCTTCATAGTATCCCTAGCTCCCAAAGCAGCCTCTGGTTCTTTCTGGGTGTCTCGACACTCCCACGAAGCCCACACTGTGCCAAAGCCACTCGATTTACCCTGCCCTTCTCCCCTTAACTGGGGGTCTCATGTTGTCCCTTTTAGCTTAAAGCCACAGCACTGCCTAAGCCTTGGTTTCAGAGTCTCAAAAAAAAAGTTGCTCTGCTTCCGTGGTAGGCATAGATGGGGTAGATCCCTGTCCTCCCCACTTCCTCGTCAAGAACAGAAAGGAAAAGCCTTTCCCTTTAGTTTTCAGTGAAATGAAAATCCCCCATAGCAATGTACACGATTTCCAAGAATTATATCTTCCCAGGGTGTATCAGACACCACCAGATCCTACCCCCCACTTCAGGTCGTGGTAGGAGCAGCTGTATATCGTGAGCCAACGGAGTCCTCTCGGAGCCAAGGCTCAAGAAGCCCCTTACGGAATCGATGGAGGTGCCGGAGCCCAAGTTTCTACACGGGCTGCTCTCAGGCAGATCTGCTTTCTGCCACTGTCACCTGTGGTCTGACGATCCCTCCTCCCCTGCACCCTCTGGGGAGCTAACTTAGGATCTTTCCGTGGTGTTCCAGATACAAAGGGGGCTTTCCCACCACTTGGAGACTTAAGTACACAGTTCCCAACTCCCCGGCAAGGAACTGGCAGATGTAAATACAGAAAGTTTGGCCAAAACTTGTTTGGCACCACATCAGTACATTGTAAATCAACTTACAAGATGGCAGAAGACACGACTTTAAAAGAAATATTTGAGGCAATGTTTTCAAGAAGGTCCTTATTTACCACAGAATTATTACAAACTACTTGTTGCTTGAAAACAAATCTTCCTTCCTACACTCAAACATTTATCTTCATTCCGAACTCACAGGCTATTTCTAGTTTCCAGCAAAGTTTGTTTTGCTCCCCAATGTCTTTAATCGTGAAGAAGATAATATATATTTTCAGTGTGTCAGTATAGATGTACGATGTTCTCACATCATTTCTGGAAAGCTGAAAACTTTGAAGCTTTTCAGGACCAACTACTGAAAACCAGAAGTACCTTCCTTGCTCCATGGTCATAACAATGTAATAAAGTCTGCAATGAATCGAAGAAAGTCAGTAGAATTGTTCCTGGGTTATAGTCCCTGCTCAAAAAATACTTGTTGAATGAATGAAAAAATTGGTGTACAAATGAATCCATTTCTGCTTTTACGTTGGTAGCCTGAACCTAAATAGATTTCTAAGACTTACGAAAACGTGGAGCGCATTATTTCCCTAATTATTTTTGCTACATTTTCTTTGAAAGTAAAAGGTCGGATATTTTATTTGATCTCTATTTTCACTTCACAAATTCACGTATTCACATACTTACATAAACATTCGCAGGACACGTGGTTAAAAGTATATCAGTACTTCACTATTGTGCGTGCTGTGATGTGGGCTCTACTTGCAAATTTCCTCCAATATTTTCTTGATCTCTGGGATCAAGTTAAATGGCTGTATGGAGATTTGCCCACATCTTCCTGGAAAGCAAATTCTGGTTCTGTTCTAATGACTAATATTTCCTTAGGTTAAAAAGGCAAGGGGTGCCTGGGTGGCTCAGTCGTTAAGCGTCTGCCTTCGGCTCAGGTCATGATCCCAGGGTCCTGGGATCGAGCCCCGCATCGGGCTCCCTGCTCAGCCAGGAGCCTGCTTCTCCCTCTTCCACTCCCCCTGCTTGTGTTCCCTCTCTCGCTGTGTCTCTCTCTGTCAAATAAATAAATAAAATCTTTAAAAAATAAAAAGGCAACAGTGAAAGTCACAACATACTGATGACAACATAGGCTTATATAGACATGAATTGCACCTGTATTTTTCTAAACATTCATTCCTGTGATATTCTAGAAATCCCAATAGTCCATATAATCCTCATCTGCTAAACTATTCAGCCACTAACCTTAGGTGGCCGACAAACCGTGGATGGCATATTCTTGGAGCAGAACGGTGAGAGACAGAGAGACAAACAGCTTCACGTTTTTCTTCTTTTGTCCTCAGCTTCTGAAGCTACTGGTTAATAGTACCGCTCAATGAATAAAACATAAGTTCTTGATGGCACCTGTGGAAAGGAGGTAATGAGTGTCTGTCTTAGTTTCAGTGTCGTGTTAACATCATCCCACTGACCTTAATTTCAACAGGCTCCCCCCTCTACCGAAGGAGTAACAACCAAATGTATCAACGAGCTCCAGAGTCCGACTTCGTGGGTGTACATCCCAGCTTACGCACTAAGCGACATGGGGCTGTCGCCGTAACCTCCCTGCGCCTGTTTCTCCATCAGTAAATAGGAGTGACAATAACATCACTGTGAATATTAAGGAAGGTGGTTTAGTCACCCATTTAACAAACGTTTCTCGAGTGCTCACTGCATGTCGGACACTATGCAGACAGAGTGATGATCAAGACAGAAAAGAAAGTCCCTGTGCTCACGGAGCTTACATTCTTGCGAGGAAAAAAACAGATGGAAATACACTTAGAAGAGCGACTGGCACCCCATAAATAGTACCTTCTGCACTTAGTAATTGAGCACTCTTTGGGGCCATGAGGGTTAAGAACAGTGATCTCAAGCAAATATTCTCTTGAACCTTTTCTTTCCTAGTTATGCTTTTCTGTATTTTCCAACACATTTACAACGAGCACTGGTTACTTAGGTAGTAAATTAACAACAACAACAAAAGAGCAATGACATAATTTAACAAATACCTCATGGTGTCTGCTGGAGAGAGCTATGGTTCTGGTAATGATTCCATGAACATTCACTGCCCAGTCTCTTTTCAGCCCAGATGCGTAGTTTCCGGCCCATTCATTCTGTTACTTCAGCATCTCTCATCCTTTGGTCTAGTCTCTATCCTGAACCTCCTCCTCTGTGGATGGACACGACTGTTATTTTTGTGTTTTCAAACCTGTATTTAATAATAATAAAAAAAATCACTCCAAATTTTTTTCATCCTTGTACAACCACAAATTCCCAAGCAACTATTTGCCCTATTGCTCGTGAGCTTCAACTATTTCTTGGTTTTTCAGGCAACTGCCTTCTCTCTCTTCAGCATGAATGCTTTGTAGTATTTCTGTTTTCCCTAACTGTGGATGCTAAATGTTATAATTAATATTTTTCTTCTTTCTATCTTTCATCATCAGAGCCTCACCAAATCCCAACACCTTCTTTTTAATGACATGTTTTGGCTCTACCTAAATTAGTACAACCTCTAAAATCCCAGCAAATGACCTTCCTTCCCTAAATCATTTTCCAAAACCATGATATGGTTGTGCTACTCTCATTCTGCAGGAATTACTTGGCTATTTAATTTTGTTGGGTTACCTTTCTTCCTTGCTCATGACGTTCATTTTTAAATTCCCAAATTACTCTTTTGTCCTACATATCCTTATACAAAATTAAAATATCTGTTAATTTCCATCACACTTTAAAGAGAAAAGACTCAAAGTTAAAAATCAAAAGTATCGGGGCGCCTGGGTGGCTCAGTCGTTAAGGGTCTGCCTTCGGCTCAGGTCACGATCCCAGGGTCCTGGGATCGAGCCCCACATCAGGCTCCCTGCTCAGTGGGGAGCCTGCTTCCCCCTCTCCCTCTGCCTACCGCTCCCCTTGCCTGTGCTCTCTTTCTCTCTGTCAAATAAATAGATAAAATCTTTAAAAAAAAATCAAAAGTATTGCCACATAGTAAGCATCAAAGATATTACTTATAAGAAAGCCTATGTCATACAGATGTTCCTAAATTTAGGTCTAAAAAATTGCACTTCCCTTTAGCGCTAAAACAATATTCCTAAGACCACATGGTACTTGAAAAACACATAACAATTTTAGCAGTCTCCTTTCCCCAAAACATTCCTGGCACACTGGTCCGTTTCATAAATCCACCTTGCATGTCACTCCGACCCCAGCAAGTCTGATACCATGCATAGGATGGCAGAGCACATCACACCATCCCTAGGTGGCCAGCTAGGACTGGGGCTGATTTCTCCTTCTCCCTCCCCAGCAAGGGAATGACCCATCCCTTACTTCTGAAAAGGTCAGTCAAGTCTTAACAAAACTATCCCAAGGACTTAAGGAAACATAAAGATTTCTAACATAGTCAAGCAACACTTAAAACTGTGTACTTTATTGGACTACTTCCAGAGTTTATAGGCTGTTCCACTGATCTCCGCTAGAGGTGTCTCTTACTTTCATCACATCTACCAATATTCTTTCACTCCTTGGAATCAAGACCCCAGAGAAAATAAACAGAATATTTCTTAAAGTAAAAGTCTACTCTAAAAATACAACATTTTGTAGAAGAAAAAAATAACATCAACTTTTTAATGCAAAGCAGCTTAGTTCCTCCTTTTTACCAATTCATTCCGAAGTAGGAGCTTGTCCTTAAACTTGTAGAACTCAAAGACTCACTGGAATAGTTCCTCCAAAAACAAAGGGGAAGAAGTCTCTCTGAAGGATAAAGGCATGCCTCTATCCAGAGAAACAAAATGGGCTGGCAGCTTTAAAATAACCTCCCTTCCCTACTTACTCTTCACACTTGCCCTGTATATGGCCATAATGCTTCAAAAATATTGGGGTTTAGCCTCAGAGAAAGTTGTTACGCACATGTGCAACTTGACTCCTACTCTTTTCTTCACTCCTGATTGTAAGACAAGCATTGAAAACCAAACCTGCTTGATTTCAAGCTAAGGAGCGTCATACTTTATTTTGGAAATTTAAGGCAGAGAACATAACCTCAGGACCAACCAGTTGCCGTGTGGCCATGTTTATGCAGAGCCGAGGCACAAAAATGACTGGCAGTTGCAACAATTGCATGGTTAATGTTTAGGGGTTGGAAGGAAGGAAGTAAAGATATAAGCGCATAAAAGCACACAACAGGAAGAAACCCAAAGGAATTGACGCATAGTCTTCCAGACTATAATGTAGCATGCCCATCCTATGATTGCTATGAACTGGGTTACTTCCATAATTTCTCTAAAGAAATGCATCTAAAACACTCTGCCAGTCAGGAATCCAGTAGGAAACAGATGGCACAATCAAATTGGATAAATTAAAGACAGTTTAATACAGGAACTATTTATAAAGGTGGGCAGCTTAAGGAAATCACAATTTGTAGTGCAGCACTCCTGGGCCAATAGTGGTGAGGTCTTACTACCTCTGTCCTGAATGGTGAAGAAGAGAGAACAGGTGGGAACCAGCAGGCAGAGAGGGCTATGTGGAGATGGGGGCCTTGTAGAAGTTAATGACTTTATTGTAGGGATAGGGCAGCCTATGACAATCCCACAGCGTTGGGAAGAAGCCAAGAGGAAACACACACTGCTGTCAGCCTTCTCTTTCCCTGTGATCACCTACCATTGCTCCGCATGGCTGAATCCAATAGGAACAGTCTGTACAGAGTCTCACAGAGCACGAAGCCGGAGGAGAAGGGTACAGAGTGTATCTGGAGGGGCAAACCTATGTCTCACTAAGTCAGAAAATATTTCTGGCCTTCATTTCTGCCTTGTACACAACTGGTACAAGGGGAGTCTGACTTTTGATCAGTTATTTAACAGGAAGCCACGCTGATTTAATAGAAGGAAAAAAAATAAGACTTAAATTTAGTGATTGACTTACTTAAGATTTTTATCAATTCCTCCATTCTTCTTTGGTGCATAATACCTAGAACAGGGTTTTTTGTTTTGTTTTTCCCAAAACATTTTGCTATGCATCTGAAATTAGATTTTATTTTATAGGTCATAGTTTCTGAAGAATTTTGAGCTGGAGAATGCCAAGCTCTGATTTGCATATTTGAAAGAATACCCTATGGTATTTAAAAGATTATTTTGAAAGTGATGCATCTAGAGATAGTAATACTATCTGAGATATTGAGGACAGTTGGGAGAAAGAGAAGGTGATGGATGTGAGAAACTTGCAGAGGTAACATTAATAGAATTCCATCCTTAATTGAATATCAGCATTAAATTATGAGTGCAGAGTGACTCTTAGACTCCTAGTTTAAAAAATAAAAAACACGTGTAGCTGGTTAGTGGGAGAGGTGGATACTGATTCAATTTGGGACATATGGAGCTCAATGTGCCTACAAAATCCAACCAACTGGATACATACCCGTCACACAAAAGAAAGAGATAGGGAATTTGCCATAATGTAGGAAGTAGTGAAGGCCATGGTTATGAGTAGAATCAGGTAAAGATGGAGGGCAGCACAAAGAGATGGCCAGAATGGAGGCTTTGGTAACAACATTTTGAGAAATCAGACCTCTCCCTGTTTTTAGTGCCATTGCAAATCTTTCCCATGACTGTAAGCCCTATCAAGGACAGAGACTTGGCCTGTCTTGTTTTTCCCCAAGATCTAGCAGTGCCTGGCACACAGTTAAGCGCTCGCTACATATTATTGAATGACTGGTGGGTTCAGTTTGCTAATGGGCACAGGAGAAGGTGATCTGATTTAGCAACTGGGGTTATTCAGAGATTAATTTACTCCCAAGATTCTCCCACCTCTGCCTTTTTTAGGGCTCCCCGCTAAATCTGAAGTTCCTTTCCCTGACTCTGTTGCTGGGAAGTTATATCTTCTTTGCTTCTATTTTTCAGTTTTTAAATTTGTCATCAGAATGATTCATTGAATTGCGTAGTTTTTAATTCCTGTATTTCAGACTTTGTTTCAGGTCTATCCTTTAAGAAATAATTTTTTTTTTCCTGTAGAGAAAGATTATCTCACTTCTTTTTTCCTGTAAAACCAGAGGTCCATTCAAAGTTTGGATAGTAATAATCACCAGACTGATAGGACACACGCTCATAAATATGGATAGATCATGTACCAAAAATCACAAGTACTTTAATGACTGTGTATCTTAAAGCAGTGGTCTCCAAACCAGGGTTGCTTACCCTGAGAGTACCCCAAGACCCCCCAAGGGGTACATGGATACACAAAGGGAAGCAATTTCCAGAACTTCAAGTCTTATCTGGCTTCTTGCCTAGGACTCATCTGTCTAAAAGAAGGTGTCTGTGGTGGAGGTTGGTCATTCTACTTTTGCATCTTCTTTACCAGTTCTCATAAACTTCAGAATGGAACAGAATCATCTGGAATGCTTGTGAAAACCCAGGTTGCTCTCCCATTACCAAAATTTCTAATTCAGTAGTGTAGGGTATGGTCTGAGGATGTGCATTTCTTATAAGTTTCTAGGTGGTGCTGAAGTTGTTTCAGGAACAAACTTTGAGAACCAAAGGCTTCAGACAATCGGCCCTTTCCCACTTTATAAAAAACAACCACCACATCAAACACACTTCTAATCCATCCTGAGTCTTAGGATGCTTTTCCATGGAATGTGAAAACTATGAGCAAACAGGACAAATCAAAATTAATTATTCTGATAACAGTGTACAAATCAAATCATTTTTAAGGCAGGTCTTTGCAAAAATATTAAGAAAGAATTTGTTGAGTTGTCAGCTGAAAGGTAATTGAAAATAACTTTTGGGATGCCTGGGTGGCTCAGTCAGTTAGGTGTCTGCCTTTGGCTCAGGTCATGATCCCAGGGTTCTGGGATCAAGTCCTGCATTGCGCTCCTTGCTCAGCAGAAGCCTGCTTCTCCTTCTACCTGCTGCTCCCCCTGCTTGTACTTTCTCTCTATATCTGACAAATAAATAAATAAAATCTTAAAAAAAAAAACTTTCAATAGAATGCTATGGGATTTTTGGCACATAATTCAGAAAGAGGTAAAAAATTGAGTAGCACTGCATAATAAAACTATGATTTCCATCATTTCCTTGTATGTGAACAAGTTTTCTGAGTTTAAATCTGTAAAAACAAAATAGGAACAGAATTGAAGTTAAGCCATGACACATTTCCAGTTTTTAAGTAATATTTACTCACAGAAATGTGAATTGGGAAAAATAGCTCTAACCATCTCACTGAGATAGATTTTTTTTTTTAAGATTTTATTTATTTGAGAGA